TTTGAATGCATCAAATAAGTGGCAAAATAAAGTTCGTCTACACAAACACATAAGAAACAAGCCTCTTATTACGTATGTGTGTTACGTTAGTACACAAATATCGAACTAAATTTGTGCTACCTTATAATCAACGTGTACAAAACGATTATACTATATAATATATATGCGTAGAAATAGCCAGACTTGCAAATTAAATACGTAATCATTCGTACGTACGAACGTACGTACTTATTTTTAAGTATATATATATACGTACATATGTTGGTTTTTAGGTTAAGCTTGACCCGGTCAATTCGAATCAATATAAATTGTGGCGGATTATCGTGAAATCGATCATCGTGAAACTTGGGGGTCTCAATTTGAAAATATAAGCCCTACCAAAATCCACCTATATACACTCTTTATTAATAATTCTAACCCTAAATCCTAACTTAACTGTAAAAAAAAAAAGCAGACAAAAAAGGCCCGATAATCCGATTTCACGATAATCCGTGACCTAAATTAATTGACTCAGTTAATTTAACTGAGTCAAGTTAAATACATAATATTATTTATATTATAACGACTAATTTTTGCAATTTATTTAGAACAAGACTAAGCAGTACGCCATTCATTTTGCGCCTCCCTCTAATATCTCGAAATTTTACTAACCTCATTGTGTAACTAAAAAAATATTTTTTATACAATTTTACTCTAACCCTAATTTTAACCCGAACTTAAATTATAATTTTTATTTTTACTCAAATTTTTCTTATTTGGATATAAAAACATTAATTATATAGAAACAATGTTTATTTTTTTATTCCTTTTTATCTTACTATATTTTATTTTTTTTTTATAAAATAATAAAATTTTCTAAAGCTGGTTTATTTTGTAAATATAATTTTAATTTCTAGTTAAAATTATAAATTTTATCTATCTATAATTTTAATTTTAAAATTAAAATTAATATTAATATTAAAAAAAGTTAAAATTTAGAATTAGAGTTAGAAATAGGCTAGGATAAGGTTTTTTATAGCACTAAATATTTTTACTTAGTATATTAAACATAGTTATTTAAGCTATTTTGAGTTATAATAATAAAGTAATTATGCTAACTAGGAAGTAAGTTAGCAATATTTTTAAAAAATATTTAATAACATATTTTTTGAACTTATTTAATCAAAAATCTTTAAATATAATTAATTACAAATATGCAAAAAATTTTTTAAATTTTAAATAACTACACAACAAATATTAAACAATCAACTCTTTTTAATGATCACTTGTACCAACCAGTTACCAAAAGCAAGTTAAAGACTCAAAATTGAAAGTTAACAACAACTTAAAGTTTTTTTGATACAAACTGTTGTTAACAAAATCTTTAAATGTGATACAACTAAGAAGTAGATATTTTAGACAGTTGTAAAGAAATTAAATATTTTTCTCTCTTTCTTGTAAAATAGATTTCTTTTTTGCATTTGGCATTCAAACTAGAGGAGTTTTTAGAAATAGCAAGTAGAAAGAAGACTAAAGTTTGTTTGGAGACAAAAGGTTGCTCTTTTATTTTTTCATTATTTTTTAACAAAAGTAAAGAATTTGGCTTACTTCTTCAAAAAATCAGCATTGTTTACCACTTTTATATCAAAAAACCTTATATTATGACATGACAATTTAGAAACATAACAATATATAAAGTCATGTTCCATATTGATCCAAGTATATTCTATCAAGAATGAAGACCTTTTGGGATAGATTCAAGAAAGTAGCTTCCAATAATAACCAAGTAAACAAAGAAAAAATATACTGTTTTATTATATTTAGTATAAAAGAGATACTTTAAAAAGGATTTATAAGTGAATAAACTAGACAAATTATTTATAAAAAATAATATATATAAAGGTTTTTATTTTTGATATTTTGAATTTATATATAAATTTAACTGAAGAGCTAATAAAGCAATAAATATAAGATATGTAAAATTTTGAAGTTATGTATATATAATTTTTTTTTGAAATATTGATAGTGATGTATATATAATTTTTAAACACTGTATATAGGCTATAGTATGTATATTTTTTTTTTGTATCCTTCTTGTTATCAGAACTCTTGCACTTAGTAGTAGACTATTATTTTGTATAGATAGAAGTTTTTTATCTAATTAACAATTTTTTTTATTTAGTAAAATTTATTTTAAGTTTTTAATATAGTTTTTGTCTTCTTAATATTAGTATTCATTTTCTATTATATATTAGTTTTTATATTTTCTTTTTCTCATTATCTATTTCTTTAATTTTTTCCTTTCTATAAGAAAGTGTTATTAGTTTGGCAATACTTTATTGTAGAGCAGAAATCTTAATAGAATATACAATAGCCAGCTAAGAAAGAAGTCTGAAGTAAGTTTTGGCTTTCTAGAGAAGGCCAAGTATTGCAAAGCAGATTACACCTAAACATTATATTTAGATTTTGATTCACTTTAACTTAAGAGAAATATTGAAGATGAGTTTAACTTTTGATTGAGATACTATAAATTATATTTATATTTCTAAAATAAATCAAATTTTTTCATAATAAAGCAAGCAGGATTTGACTTAAAAAAAAAAATTTAATTAATTATAATAAATAATAAGAATAAATATTTAAATTGTATTATATAATATAGTATTTTTGCTATAGGTTATATATGATATATAAACAATAATCAACATTTTTTTCAACGATTCTTTGGCTAATGATAACAAGAAACTGAACTATAGAAAACAATATAGAAATGTTCAAAACAGATACTTTTTAGTTCTATTATAGAGTAAACAGTTGTTAACAAAGCCTAAAAACATAAAACACTAAAGAGCAAGCATACTTTGAGCAGTTTTTCTTGGAGTCAAACCTTTCTACTTTTGTATAAACTCCCTAAGTTATTTGGCATTTAAACCAGAAGGATATTCTGGAAATTGATCTTACCTATATATAAATTGTTATTGATAAAGTTCAAGAGATATGATATATCAAAGAGCAGACATAACTTGAATAGTTTTTCTTAAGGTCAAGTTATCTTTTCTCTCTATCAACAGACTTTCTAAGTTATTCAGTACCTATCAGAAAAACTATTTTGAGAACAAGTAAAGTTAAAAGACTCTTGCTAAGATAGTTGAAGCTTGAAAAATAGCTTATATAACTGTAAACTTACAGAAGAACCTCATATACTCTCATTGTCCCTTTGCTTTTTTTTCAGAAAAAATTTTGTAAAAAAGTGGATAATTAGCTTACCTTCTCCAAAAGATCAACATATTATTTACTTTCTAAATTGGTTAATATTGTTTACTTATACCCATCACAACAAATATGTAAATATATATAGGTTACAAACATGTGGATTACATGCTTTAAATATAGTATCCAAAACAAACAATGTATCCAGGTTAACAGTGCAATTTCTGACCTCTCTATGGTGCTCAAATCAAAGAAGAACTATTTTTTTCTTTGCTTTAAGGGTTTTTTTTTAGGCATACTAATTATATAAATTTAGAATAAAAACAAGTTTAGATAGTAGTATGAAATTTTTATAGAGCCCGATATAGGCTTATAATTGTGACTATCCACTATAAAGTAATTTCTGTTTTTTGTTTTTCTTATATCTCTTTTTTTTTTTTATATGTATTTGTTTTTATTTTTTCTCTATATCTCAGTATTTTTTTAGTTTAGTTTTCTTTTTGTTTAAACAAGACTCTAAGTAAGTAGTAGACTACAAAGGTTATTCTAGTTACTGTACTAGCTACTATGCTATCTTATTAGTGTAGCTAATTAAATATGAGTACTTAGATGACTTAGTTATATTGAAGCAGCTGCATGATATCAAACTACAGATTTATTGCTATATTGTCTTCAGCAGTGACAAGGCTTTAATAAACATTTTGTGATTAGCCAAAGTCTCAAAAAAAAATATATATAGTCGACTCTAGTTATACTAAATCTGTTTATATCAAACTTAGGTTATAACAAACCAGATCTGGCAGAACTAATTTTTTTATAAGAATTTAGGCTGCCTATACTGAACTTATATAGTAAATTTTTATATACTACATCCAAACTCTTCTTTACCAGCCCAAAACTATATATATATATTTGATATAATGAACTATTAGTTTGTATATAATACCAATTTCTAAAAATTCTGAACTGAAGCAAAATTTTGAGAGAAGTTCTGAAAAGTTCTGAAGATGTATATATGATTTTATTGGTTAGCTTTGTATATTGAACTGTTCAGTATAAAAAAATAAACTATATAACGAACCCACTTTATAACAAATAAAACCTTTCAAAATATACAGTTCAGTATATCTAGAGTTGCTATATAAACAATAATTATTATTGAAAATTATAGATTTTTTTTTATTTTAGCTTGTTGTTTTACTAACTAATATTTTTTTTATACTATTATTAGAGTTGTTATTCTTGAAGTTATTATTTTGGAATTGTTGTTCTTGAAGTTATCATTTTTAGAGTTTTTATTAGTATATGCTGTTGATTTTGATAAGATTTATATTTTGTTTTAATATATATAGTATTTTTTTTTTATTAGAACATTTCTAATTTACACCACAGGTGATTATCACCTGTAGTAAAATTATCTTAAAATCTTGCTTATGAAACTACTTTTAAGGCTCTAAGTAAAAAAATTCCTTGTGAAATTTTACTATAAACCTTACTAAACTCTAACCCTAATATGAGCTCTAACCCTTACCTTAAAGTCTCAAAAAAAAACAAAATTTTATTTATTAAATTGTTTATTTATTTGTTTATGTTATCCAAAATTATATACTGTAAATTACAGATGATCATCACCTGTGGTGTATATTAGTTATTTTCTTTTTTTAAATAGCTAAACATTATTTTAAAGTTATTTTTTTTTGTAATTGTTATTTTTTGAAGCTTTTGTTAGTATAATGCTATTGATTTTAATGGATTTTGTTGCATTTTTGTTATTTAGTTTAACATATGTTATAGTTTTTTCAGATAACTAGATGCTATTTTATAGTTATTGTTATTGGAGTCATAGTTTTTAGAGCTTTTGTTAGTGTAATTCTATTTTGAAGTTGTTATTGTTGATATTGTTTTTGATATTATTATTTTTTAAAGCTTTCGTTAGTATAATGCTATCAATTTTGTAGTGTTTTTGCTTTTTGTTTTAGTATATATTGCATTTTACTAACTTTACTTTTTTTTAGATAAATAGATTTTATTCTGAAGCTAACATTATTAGTATTGTTACAGGGTTGCAGCCTTCTTAGTAAAATACAACCAAGTAACAAGATCACCTGATATAGTAATTGACTATTGCAAATATATACAGAATGGAGATGTAGTTGTTCACTTAACCACACAGGAGCAGGCAAATGGTTTGAGATAATAACAGTATATAAAATAGCTTTATTTAATATAAGAATGGTGATAAGCCTTGCCTATAGAAATTATCTTAGAGGGAGAATATCACACTTTACAAGATAAGAAGGGGTAAAGGATATCAGAGTCTAAGTAAAGTGTAGAAACTTAAGAATTGGCAAGAAGGGGAAAAGGCACCCTTTATATATCTTTTCTGCTCAAAACAAAAGTATACAGTGTGTAAAGGGATATTGGAGGTTGAGTAACATTAGTAGGAGAAGTTGGAGGATTGTGCTGGGAGAAGTTGGGGGATTATACTGAGTGAAGTTTGGGAATTGTACTTGAGGAAGTTGAGAAATATAAACATTATTCGATTTGTTTATATTTATTTATTGTTTGTAAAGAGGAATCTGAGAAAGGTGAATCTGAGGGAGAGGAATCTAGAGAAGGAGAACCTGGAGGTGGGGAACCTGGGGGAGGGGAATCTGAGAAACTTTGCGATGTGATGTGAGGCTTGCGATGTGATATCTTGTATTTAAAATACTTAGAATTTTATGTGAAGGAAACTAAGCAATTTCGTGTAGAAAAACTTGGAGGAAATTGTATTACGCTTTTGTGATATCTTTGTATAACCTAAAGTACTCTTTTGTGTAACCTTGTATCACCTTAGGTCATGTGAGGTCATGTGACTATGCTACACTTCTAATAGCCAATCAATTTATTCCTATATATTGACTATAAAATTACTATCTAATATAATATAATAATATACAATATAAGAATATACTAAATATAACTAAGAATAAACTAACTAATAATATATATAATAATAAATAATACTAAGCTAAAAATAACTTAAATTTCTATACAAAATGCTATATTAAAATCTACTTTGTAACAGTATTATTATTTTTGTAATCATTATTTCTTGTAAAATCACTGCTACAGAAGTTTTATTGAAATAATGCTATTGATTTTGATAAGCTTTATAGTATTTTTGTCTTTTGTTTTAGTATATATTTTACTAATTAATTATAATTTCTTTTAAATAACTAGATATTATTTTATAGTTATCATTTTTTGTAGAGTTACTGTTAATTTTAGTAAACTTTTGTAGTGTTTTACTTTTTGTTTGGTGTATATTATATTTTACTAATCAGTTTTTTTTCGAATAATCATTTTTGGTGAAATCATTATTACTCTTATAATGTGATACCTTTGATTTTAGCAGGCTTTATGGTTTATTATATAAATTTATCATTTTAGATAGTTATTTTTAAAAACTTACTTATGTTAGTCTGTCAATTTAATGCTATCACTTTGTTATTTCATCTAAATGTGTTTAGTTGTTTTATAACATTAACTTTAAGTTATTTCTAAGTTCTTTTAATATTGTATTAAATTAGATAATTGTTTTAGAGTTAGGTTTAGTATTAAATAATATATTTTGGTTAATTAAATATTAGATAAATTAGCATACAACTCTTACTGATGATTACTTGTACCAAACTTATAGTTAACAAAAACAGAAACTTGTTGGAGAAAAGTAGAAAAGACAACTATACAATAATGGTTTTTACAGAGATTAAGGATTTCCATATCTCCTTCAGACTCCTCTATATATTCAGTATGCAAGTTAAAAGCATTCCTATACAAGATAACTGGCAAGAAGGTGGTGCCTTTGTATAAAAAATTTTAATAGAAGCTCTGCTTCTGCTAACAAAGTTAAAGATAGTTGGTCTAAGAAGAATAACAAGCGAGTTTTCAACACACTTCTTACCAAAGTTTAAGGCTATCTGCAAACTGAAACCCTTTTCCATACCCTACTCTCTTGGTTTTTGCGAAATTTCTACAAAAAGTAGGAAAAACAGCATATCCTCATCAAAAGATCGATAACAATAATTGCTGCCAAAAAAGGAAATATACATACACATATATGTATATGCTTTAGGTTATTGTGTTAGATACTTTTTCATCAAGAGGTTATGGTAGTTATACCGAGAGTGCCCAATCCGTCAACATGGGTCGACGGACAACAGCTCGCAAAGTTTGCTCAGGAAGTTACAGGTTGAAACATTGCAGAAAGCTTGTCGACGGTTTGGGATAGCAACTAGAAGTTTCGACCCTTGGAGCTCTACTTCAAGACCGGATGGTTTTTTATATTTTTACATCCTGGATATAGACATAAATAACTAGCATAGAGTTTTAGTCTAGATTATTTATAGTACTATATAATTTTTACAATCCAGCATGGGTTTAATAGTGCTAACTTTGTTGTCTTTTCTTTTCTTTTCTTTTTTTGTTATTTGTTTTTTTTGGTTTTATTGGTTTAGATGGACCAGAACTCAATACCATAGTATTTCACTATTCTTGTTTTGCTCTTTGCATTTGTGTTTGTATTTCATTTGGTAAAAAGAAAAGCTAACTTTGATATGGTATATAGTAACAGCCTATAACCAAAAGATAACCTCTAGTAAGTTAGGGGCCCGGAGAGAGGCTTGAAGTCTACTGAGGCAAGTCATATATGATGAATGCATAGGTAAGCTACTTTATAGGTAGATTAGTATAGCTATTATTAGGGAATGTAAATTTCTTAATTTAGTTAATCTGCAAATTAAAAGTGGCAGGACTGCCAAATTATAAAAAAAAAAATAATTTTTTTCAAAAATTTCCAGCAAGTTAACAAATTTTCACAAATTTTTATATATTAAATTTGCTTAAAATTTGTACAAATTTGCACTAAATTTATTTTTCTAATGTAGTATTTAGCAAATTGTAAATTTTTAGATTTGTACTAAGTTAAAAGAAGGTGTGGTGACTTAGTGAAGTTGGTAAGTTGTCACTCCTTCAAATGGCAGGTCTAGAGTTCAAATCCTACTGGCAATAATTTTGAAAAAATAAGATTTGTTTTGGTAACATTTTTTTGATGATTGGTTGGATGTATACCTATAACCTTGGTACCACCATTTTGAATAGAAGCTTTCGAGCAAAGTTGTGTAACATCATACAGACAAAGCCAAGGAACTGGAATAATTGAAACCCATTTGGAAAGACCCAAGCAAAAAAAGTAGTGAAGTTCTTTGACAATACTGCAAAAGCTGGAACCTCAGAAACCAGAGATTGAAGAACCAGATGAATAACTCTGGAGCAAGAAGGTTCACCAACCTGGCTGCCAGAGTCACACCAGAGGAAAAGGTTCTATCCTACAAAATTAGGAACCAAAGGAAGGAAACTACTAGACACTTAAAGTCTAGATATACCAACCTATTCAAGCTAAATAGTTTGGAAGTTTGGGAGAGATCGGTATAAGGACTGGAAAGAAGGTAGACATAGGTATCAGAATTGAAATGAACCTTGTAAAGGCAGGCGAACAAGGAATTGTGTAGTTTAATAGTTAGTTCTGACTGCTAGTATTGGTTTTGATCATAGCAGACAGGTTCTCTGAATCTAATTCAGAAATGTATAGAACATAGAAGAATTAGGAGGTAGCTACTACGCCTACCTGTGGGCACCCTAGAGAAATCAATGGAGTAACCAAGCCCAGGTAAGTGAGTTGGGTACTTCAGTATAAAGGTACTTAGCTTAAAATAATTAGTGGGTATATACTATCAGATAGTTTAAATAGTTAACCTCCTAGTTGGATTATAGATATGGCATCTAGTTAGAACCTTCATGCAGACTACTTAAATAGGCAACCAAAAGTTGTACATATGGCTAGTTGTACTCTCATTGTAATACTAAATGTAAGACCCATGTGGTTAACAGATAAATATCAATAATGCTTGGTCCTGAAGGCACCAAAATAAAAAAAAAAAAATACTAATTTAAAATTGCTAATTAGAAGTGATAATTGTCACAGATCATAATGAAATCAGATAAGGTGTTTCTATTTGACTCTTTAAAAACCCACTTATACTTGTTTATTATAAAACTGCTTCTTAACTCTAATTCTAACTCTAAAAAAATGCTAAAAAATGCTCCCAAAAATTTGTATTTTTCAGTGGCTTGTCTATTTTACACTATTCCTCATCTCATTTTAATTTGATTTTATTTTAATCTGCCACAATAATTATTTAGAATCTATTGTTGTTAACATCAGAAAAATAAGTTTGCACAAAATTTTATAAAAACTTGCAGAAATTTACTTCTTGCCAAAAATTTTTATAAAAAAATAAAAATTTATGAAAATAATAAAGTAAGCCTATAGTGTTAAACACTATATATTGTTTTAATTTACAAATTTGTATAACAAAAAACAAAAAAAACAAATTTTTATAAAAATTAAAAGTAAGTTTCACAGGTCGAAATCAAAAATATCATCATCATATCATCTAATATCACCTATGGTAATAGCAGGCAGATAGGCTGTTGGCTATAAACTGATTGATTAGATATAAAAAAAGCTGATAGGATGAAGATTTTAGTAAAATATGTTACATATCGGTTTAATGCCAGATAAAAATATCTATTTATCATAAAGAAGATTAGT